TTCAGTGAGGAATCTACTCACTTATATCACTATCTATATGAGGAAATTTTCCATCACCATAATACAATACTTGAGATAATAAACTTTAAAAGAAAAGATCTGTTTAGCCCACAGTTTTGAGGTTTGAGTCCACGGTTAAATGGTTCCATCACTGTGACCCTCTGGTGAGTGTGCTTGATGACAAAGTAAAGGAACAAAACCACATCCATTGTAAGTTGAGAAACAACAGAAAGAGGGGGCCAGAGTTTCATAGCCTCCTTCCAGGGCATGCCACATGACCGGAAGATCTCCTCACCTTGGTCTCATTCCTAAAGGCTCCACCACCTTTCTTTAGTGCCTTGAGGACTGCACCTTTCACACCTGAAATAGTCAAACACCAAGCTACAGTGATCACAGTGTTTATAAATACCCACATTGTCAGTGAGAAGATGATTATTTTGAGGGTGAAGAAAACAGACTGAGAACGTGGGTGATGGTGGTACGGAATTGCATGGCACAGTGGGACAGAAGGGTAAATTATTTGAAAAACACAGTTTTTAACCTACTGTGTAGTTGGAGCTAAAAATAAAGGGAAAATAAGTATTTATAAATCTGTTGTACAATTGACAAGCCTAGCATATTGCTTGGATTAGTAGAAATCAAATGACTATCGTAAACTTATTCTCTTTAAAGCCTTCAGTTTATCCTAAATTAGAATTTACTTTGTCAAACCGTCTTGTGGAATAGATGCTTCTGAAGGGGGATGTTGTGAGTTGAATTTCCCTATCAAAAAAAAAAATAGGGATAAGTAAAGTCTTAATACTCAGAATCCCAGAATGTGATCTAATTTGGAAAGATCATCTTTGCAGAGCTAATTAAGTCAAAACGATGGCAGTGAGGTGGATCCCGATTCAGTGTAGCTTGTACTCTTCTACACAGGAAACAGACATGGCGCACACAGAAGGAAGAGCCTACAAGGGCATGCAGCAAGCACACCATCTGAAGAGGTAATGACGAAATACCCACGATGACCAGAAACTGGGAGGGTGGCGTGGAAACAGGTGCTTCTGTGGCATGACGGAGCAGGGCCTTGCCACCACCTTGATCTTGAACTTCTGACCTTTTCAACTTTGGAACAATAAACTCCTGTTGTTTTAAGCAGTCCAATCTATTATAACCTTAGGAAATTAAAACCGAGGACAATACTACGTTTTCGAAAATGAAAACCCTTAGAGAAACAACTATTTAAATCTGCATGTACCCTACAGTCCACTAAGGGAATAACAGTTGTGAAAGCTAAAACTTCAAAACCAGGGAAGTCCATGATTAAAAAAGCCCACCTCGCAGCACAATTTGCTGATGACACGGTTGTTTCTGCAGCACCGTGTGCAATCAAAATAAGCAACATCACAGATAGCAAGAACATTCCTACTGTGTCATATCATGGTGCCACTGCACATTAAAGCCAAGTATCAGACTACATTTCCATATGGATTTTGGCCAACAATCATAAATAACAGATAACTTTCTCATAAACAATTCCAAAAGCAGTGTGTCAGACGGATGATATTTTGGAGGTGGGGTGGGCAAAGTTTAAAATGGCAAGAGTTGCACCTATGCAGACACACCACTCCGAAGCCACCATTGACTTAAACATCACTGGGGGAGTTACACTTTACTCAGATTCCAAAGGAGTCTAAAGTCTAACATTTCAGTGCTTTAAACTTCTCATGCAGAAGAAATCAACATTTTAATACAATTAGAATTCTGTAGGAGAAAAATCTGTATTTGGGGAAAATAACATCAGACCTTGGGAGGCACTATGTTAGTATTCATGGATATCAAGGAAAGGTTTTTCAGGCATTGGCTCTTCCTGAAGAGGTTGCCTGTGGGTGTGATACAAATTTCGCAGAGCAAATGGGGGAGTATATGAGAGAATTGCACCTTGTCATAAAATTCTGCAAGGAGTGATCCCTATTTTATTTTACCAATATAGGAACCCAAATCTCAACTCCAATGTTGAGAAGGTGTTGGCATAGTCAGGTTGCTAACACACAAAATGTCTGGAAGTGGCCAAGATATCAATAATAATTATCAGTCTCCATCTTCTGTGTATAACTGTAAAGTGTTTTTACTGCAAACAAAGACCTGGTAAGAGTCCTTCCTCCACCTCACTGTGAGTATGTATAGGCTTTAATCAGGTGGGTCTGGGCCAGGGCATCTAATACAGTCTGTGTGTATCAGGCAAGTCTAGCACCACACAGGCTAGTTTGTGTTGGGCTGGTGCTTCTTGACCTTTGACACCAATATTACTGAATCTTAGATTTAGTTTTGCTTGTTTTCTTCTAAGATATACAAGCACCTCTGGTTGACCATATGCAGTTAGATATGTTTAGGCTTTGAAGAAGTATGAGTTGCAAATAGTATAAAGGGAAAGACTCACCCTACTGCTTGCTCTAAGCTACAGGCACAGTACTTATGTGTAAGTCCTTCTTATTTAGACTCCTGTGCTCCACTTGGTAAGTGGCAAGTATTTAAGTATCTTATATGGTATGACCAAAAATTGATGTGTGTTGAGTGTGTGATTAAATATTAGAACCTAAAATTAGGTGTATACATTAAATTTTTTTTAGTGAATTACAAATCAAAATCAGGTAAAATTTGAAAATAATTATTGAAATATTCAAACAGTGCTAATAGAAGTAAAGAAAGTGGTATGTTTAGGAACTGGAGAGATGGCTCAGCAGTTAAGAATATTTACTGGCTGCTTCTGCAGAGGATCTGGGTTTGGTTCCCAGCATTTACATGACAGCTAACAACAGTCTGTAGCTCCAGTTCCAGGGGGAATTCAACACCACACCCTCTTCTTATCTCCGTGGGCATTGCATGACATGAGTATACTTACATACGTACAGGCAATGCACCCATACACATAAAATAAAAATAATAACGTATTTTAAAAAGAAAAATTTATTTTTAGGTTGATAAACATTCACTTAATTCTCTTGAAAGTAAAATATTAGCAATAGCTACAAACATCTTCATTTACTCTGAGAAAGCAATCTCACTCTTTCAAAGTTCAGTTAGTAAAAAAAGCACAGTGAAAACTCATGTATTCAGTTTGATGCCATTCTTACTATATGTGACTGTGAACAATGATTTCCAAAAAAGTTAAGTAAGTGATATTTCACTAATTGAATAGAACATCGGGTATGTGTTATACAGGTTGAATAGCCCTTACAAGAAATGCATATTTGCATATATATGATGAGAATATTAGTTACTTTCTTCATTGCTGTGATTAAATACCTGACGGGAAGCATGAAGGATGAGAGTTTTATTTTGGATCGTGATCTGAGAGGGTCCAGTCCATCAGGATGGGGAAGGCATGGTGGAGTTCATGGTGGCTGAGCGTGTGTCTGAAAATTTTCATACTTCAAAGAATCAGAAAGCAGAGAATGGACAGGAAATGAGACCTGGCTATAAAACCTCAAGGCCCATTGCCTCCTTCCCCCAGTGACCCACTTCCTCCAGAGAACATTTGCCTCCTAAAGGTTTCTCCCCAAACAGTGCCACTGGATGGGGCCAACGTGTTCAAACACCTGAGCCTATCTGGGATATTTCTTATTCAAAGTACAATGAGAGAATTGGGAATTGAACCCATGTCCAGACACAATATTCATTTATATTACAGATATACCTTATACATAGAATCTGAAATGCTTCTATAAAATGTTGCTAGTGTGCCTGTTTTTTTTTTTTTTTTTTTGTGTGTGTGTATACATGTATGTGGGTACCCATAGAGGCCAGAGGAAGGAGTCAGATCCCCTGGGGCTCTAGTTGCAGGCAATTATTGTGAGCTGCCTGATGTGGATGCTGGGAACCAAACTTTAGCTCTCTGCAAGAGCAACAAATACTCTTAACCACTGAGCCGTTTCTCCAGACTAACTGCTTGTGTTTTAAATGGGGCCCATTACGTGAGATCAAGTATGGAATTTTCCACTTGTGGAATCATGTTGACATTAAAAACTTTCAGAGTTTGGAGCTTGAATTTCAAATTTTTGTATTGAGGTAATCAATCCCTAATACAATAATATTGTACGATATTATAATTGATCCATAGACACACATTTGTGTATAATATGATGCTTAATAGTGTAAGTGAATTACAAAAGTATATGCTCACTGTAACTACTATGGAAATACATTCATTACCTTATTCATGAAATTTTTGAGCATCCCCTATACATATTAGTTGTTGTCTCTGGATATTGGAAACATACAACTGAAAGGATAGTTACTTTTCTCATTGAGACACAGTCAAGTTGAAAACTAGTCATAAGTACAGGTGGAAAATGAATGGAATGCAGGGCAGAGGACAGGAAGCTTGAAGCTGGTCAAAGATACAAGGGGAAACTTGGTGAAGGAGTAAAGATACTCAGTCAAATAAAAAAATGTGAGTATATCACATACGAGGGAAGGGTGAAAATAGTAAGAATTGTGTAAACATTTTAATCTCTGTTCAGACATCACCTCATGCCAGAAATGTACCCATCTAAACTGTACAATTCAATAGTTGTTAGTATACTCATAAGTGAGCAGTCATCACTGTACTGTAAGTGTACAACATTTTTATTATTCCTAGGATAACTTCTTCCAGTGTCACACGTTCTTATAATAAAGGAATCAAGGTATAAAGATAAAAAATCTTTGATTTCAGGACTGGAGAGATGGCTCAGTGGTTAAGAGCACTGGTTGCTCTTGCAGAAGACCTGGGTTTGATTCCCAGCACCTACATGGTGGCTAGCACTGTCCGTTAACTCCAGTTCCAGGGGATTCAGCATCCTCTTCTGACCTCCACAGGCACTGCACAACATGGGTGCACCTACATCCATGCAGACAATGTACTCATACACATAAAAATTAAGAAATAAAATAATGAAGATAAAACCTTTGATTTCTATTATGGGAAAGCTTCATGTTGTGTGTGAAACAAACCATAAGCATGCTTTTGTGTCTTTAATTTTCAATTTTATTGGTGACTAGGTAAATAGGTACATGAAAATCTTCACAGATCTCATATATTTAAATAAAACAAGAGTTCCAAGATTGGGGTTTCAGTGATGACTAGTACATTATTTCTTCACTCTATTAAAATCTCCAAGTTTATAAAAAAGATCTGCTCATTTTCTCATGCCTTAAAAACTAGCTGCAAGAACTAGTGAAAGGAATTTATTGAAGAGAAATACAGATAGGCTCCTAGTGGAGCCCAGAGCATTTTGAGTTGTGAAAGAAGTCAGCAATGTTGTGAGCATTATATACTCAGGGTTCTCCCTCCAGGGCTTCCACATTCTAAGAGGTGACGGTCACTGTGCATGGGTGTGATGGTCTCTGCAATGCCCACAGGTAGCAAGCAGTGCCTTAAAGAGACCTCTGCAGCACAGGAAGCCATGGTTTGCCTTTGACTTCCTCATACCCTGTTCTGTCTGGGTTCCATCTTCCTCCTGGCATCTCTGGTTTCTTCTATATGGCTGTCTGGACTAGCTCCTATACTTAAATTGAAGAGTTCTGAGTTCCTTCAAAACCAGGGGTACATGCCGAGGAGCTAATTTCTGTTGGTCACAGTGCATCAGGCATCACAAGAATTAGGGTACTTTATGGTCTAGAGAGAGAGCTGTTTGTTGTCCCTCAAATCTTATCATGCAGATAGTCCTCAACCTATAAAATTGGTTCTACCTAAAAGACCAACACCAAATGAAACCCCCTTCCCCACCATGAAGTTGGTGTGGGACATTCACAACTCTTTGAGGCAAATGCAGTGGTCCTCAGGCATCAGCCACACAGACTGGGAGCTCAACTTGAGTGCCTGACAGACAGGAAGCAGCTACCAAGATAGATTTAATTGACAAGGCTTTTCAGTTACTTTCCAATGAACTGCTGCAACTCCAGCCAAAGGGCTTCGCTCCAGGTTAAGGCACCACATAAAGTTTACTGTCTGTAAGTTTGACTCATCTTTCAAATAAAGTGTTATTGCTGAAAGTGAGACACAGATTATTTTCCAACTGTTTTGTAAACTTAAGGATTTTGGTCAGCTTGTAGTATCAGACTTAATATTCGGGATATTAATTAAAAAATAGCTAATGCCAGTGTAAACATGCCTTGGATACATAGTCTATAAAAATATTGCACATAAAAATTTGTTCAGCGTTCTCCATAGCAAGTTTTCATTTTTATAAAAAGGCTATAAAATCGTATGGACCATCTTATAATAAATTGACTGGTCAATTTTACTTCAAAATGATAATATTACATTTGATTATAGATTAGTTACAAGAATTTTAAGCAACTATCTTTTGGATGGTTAATGAAAGATAATGGAAAATAGCTTAATTAAAGATCATTTTCCAAAATAATATACTATAAAAGATTAACAGTAAAAATGAGTACTAAAGTTAGAATAGGCATCCTTAGACAAAGCCCTTGGAATTAATTTTTCTAGGTTTGTCTCACACCTGTATAACTTCATAGATCTCCATCTTATTTAAGTTCAGCCATTTTCTTTTTATACAAGAATAAGGTATTACAGGGACAAAAGGTATTTAAATTCCAAACTAAATATTGGTGTTGGTTACTATAGCTATTAAAATTAATTTGCTCATATTATTAAATTGCTTTTTTATATGGACTCTAAAAATTGTGTCAATACTTTCGAACACCATACAGGGTAGTAAGTACCTTGAAATTAATGTTTTAAATAAATCAGTGGAAAGATTATTTTTACATGTGTAAAAGGAAACATAAGTAACATTTAATAAAGCTAAATTCAGCTGATGTGAGTTCCTGGAGAGTGTGAATAAAAATAACTCCAGGTAGAAGGCAGCAAGGTTTCAAGCAAAATTGATCTCTAATACCAATTTGTGTTTCCTTGACGCTGTCTAAAATATGAAGAAGCTCAATTAAATGAACTATCTGCACAAAGTGGTTACTGTAAGAGGAAATAAACTGAGTGATTTTGAAAACTAACTAACCAAATGTTAATTTCCAAATCCTCTAGACAACCATATTCTTCACCTAGAGAAATGGAAAATAAATAAATAAGTGTTATCCTCACTTAGCAAAATGATCTTTGTTGTCTCACAAGTACTTCCACAGTACCAACAACACACTGTGTGTCTCCCTGAGCCATCACATCCTTAGAAACATTTCTCTTCCGTAGGGAGGTGTCAAATATTCCACTGGGTTACAGTAGTTCAGTCCTAGTCACCCTCTCATTTCTGCAGTAATTCCTCTTTGCAGTTCAAGTTGGGTTGACTTAGACAGCAGCCCAAGTTCCTGCAGCCATTCCAAAATGTCTGCCAAATATGGAATGACAAAAGCAAACCTCCCAGGACTGCTGATTGTTTCTACAGTGTTGGCAGTTTCTTTTCCCACAGGGTACTCTGCACTCCGTGGCAACTTCCACAATGTGTGAAGAAGATGAGGTGATCAATTAGGTGTCCTTCCATTCCCCAGGCCAGCGGCAGGTATGGACACTATTATCATCTAGACCTTATGTCCTTTCTTTCCTTCTTTTTCTGAACAGGACCAGTGTTTGAATTTGGGGATGCATGTTTCTGGGTCACGCTTCTGGGGTCTTGCCACTGGTCAGTTGTTCCCTGTCTGTCATTTCATCCTGAGGAGGTCTTGCTCTATCAAAGAATCCACACTAGGGAAAAGAAAAATGGGTTATAAATCAAATCATCTGGAGGGAATTTATGGAATACCTTATTTAGAGAGTTTGCATCTATACATTATTTTTAAGGAACTTGGACTATGAATGCTATCTGCCCAATTCTCCAAATGAAGAGGGAAAATGGAGCTTTGGTTACCTGTAGAAAGGACTCCATTGCTCAGAGCAATGTGGGCAAGAGCATTTGTGCCCTCCTGCTGTGTAATTGGAAGCCACTCACAGACGTTGGATATATTCCTGGGATTACAACTATGTTCCCCAAGTAGCCTCTTTCTGATTTTCTGCATGTTTTCTTCGTGTTACATGTCTGGTCAGCATTAACTGTTGACCAGAAAAGAAATATTGCACTGTAGAGGACTCGGGATACATTATAGGAAGAAGTGGGATCTCTGCCTGTTCCTCCTCACTTGGTAGGACATAGAGCATTTAGAAGATCCAATCTGTCACTTATTTCAATGACAGGACCGACCAGGCATGCAAGGACAACTTTGCGACTTTTAACAGGTTAACCAGGACTATGGTAAAGATGATTCCAGAATCTTTTCCCCCTCAAATTACAAATTAGTAGTTAGCCATGAAAGATACCATGAAATTGTATCTTTTCATGGAGCCCTAGAACTTCAATTCTCATTTATTGTTTCTCATTTGGGAAGCACAACATATGTTCTTTGCAGGACTAGTAGAATGTTCTGTCAATTAGCACATAGAATTCTATTCAGTTACCGTAAATAGAATAATGCAAAAGTCACCTCTAAATGTGTGCCATAGACTCTGTGGGCTCAGGATGGCACGAACCAGATGTTGTTGATTAGAAAAACTATTCAGGGTCAAGGTTTTCTAAGTCTACAGTATGGTCGAGCACGCTGCCTGTTCCTTCATAATGAAAATACACCGTGGTTTGGGGGATCCATGCAATAGTGGTTAACTAAGATGTGACTGGGCTAGTTACTCATATAGTCATGTCATTGTGACATTCTGTCTCTTTTAGAATAGAAGGCTGTATACAAATTTGCAGATATACAAGTCATTGAGCCAGAAATCTGTTGTTATTTAGACTTTTAGGACAAATCTCAGTAGAATACACCAGAGAACAAATTAAGCTTTCCCAATAAAGACAGATTGGTTGGCAAAAGTAAATAATAAGTCCACACGTCTTATAACATGCATAGCCTATTTGGCCTAATTAACAGTTGAAATAAAAGGAATTTAGAATTGACCTGTATCTTAATATATTTATTTGTCTCAAAATGAGGGCTGGGAATGTAGCTCAGTAGAGAAGGACTTACCTAGCATGTACAAAGCTTTGGGTTCAATCCCTAGCACTCAAAGTGAACCCCCCCAGAAAAAAACCTCACTGTGAAAACAATTTACCCATTATCTTCTTAAACATTAGCTACACAAATATATTAAATTCCAAAGCAAAATGATCTTCTTCTGTCCTTCACACCTATCAAAAATCTGTAACTGTGATTCTAGCATCATCCTTTACAATCCCTAACAATATACTTTCAATCCCCCTCACTTGCTTCTGAAATCCAAAAGGAAATGCAAAGGAAATCAACTTACCTTCCAAAGAGCCAAAGTTAGGATGGCCAGCACCAGCAACCCAAGCAGTATCGCTAGGATTATGACCCACAAGGGAATTGAGAAAGAAACATTAGGGATGGCCCAAATAACTGAAGTCTTAATCTGAAATGAAAGTAAAACAAATGAAACTAACTTGAAACTATTTAGTGAAACAGAGCAGCGGTTGCCAGTTTACTACTGGCTCTTCCTGAAAAGATTCACATAATGGCTAAGATGATTCCAGGGGAGAATATGAAGTTACAGCACTTGAACACGGACTCTTTAAAACAAGCTCACACCCAGGTCTAGCAGATTGGGTGGAACTAGAAGAACAGACACTTGATGGACAAGTAGGCTCAAATAAATGTCAAATCTATGTATACACCTCTTCATGTAACTCAGCTAACCTTATTGAGAAGTGAATCTGGGACTACCCATGAAATATTAGATGTGTAAGAAGGTTATACATCATCTAATCTTATCCTCTAACTTTACAGATGATGAACTTGTCAGGAGGAGAAAATGATGCATACCATTAGTTAATGTCAATGCTAGGTCTCTATCTGTAGACTTTGTGCTTTAGTAATGAAAGGCAACTGAGAACTTGGTGGAAGGCGAAGACTCACAACTAAGGTTGTTCTCTGACCTCCACATGTATGTGGTGGCGTATACATGCCTGTACACACACACGCACGCACACACACACACACACACACACACACACACACACACACACCTCTTGTCTCATCATCTATGAGTACACTCATAGTTTACCAGAGCCAGTACATTCCATTGCAAAGCTGCAATAATCCCCAATAAATATCATTATCATTTGGAGAATATCTCTGTTATTTAAGTTGGCACTAGTGGGCAAAGTGATGTGTTGTCATCCAGATGTGTTGGGTCTGCCTTCAGTCCTAAATCCAATTTTCAGACACAGAACTGGAGTAAGTGCCTGGAGAGCAGAGCCTATGTCACTCCTCACTGTTGGAAAGAATCCTGGACGAAAACGAGACCTTCCCAGTGGGACTATATGCTCAGTACCTATGAACACTGCTGCCTCCCCATGTCGGTGGAAGGACCCCTGCTGACCCTGTCCTGGGAGCCTGTGCAAGGACGCCACAGATGCCCATGTAGATGTAAGGAGAGAACCAACCAAGCAACTGAAACATTTTGTCAGAGGAAGGAAACACTATTGTTAGATCCAAACATTATCTACCAAGATTGATAGATCTGAGTTTAACAGAGTAGTAAACATTGCCTCCTTTAAACTGTGTGCTGTCATTGAAACATGACTGACTCTAGACTACAGTCCTACTATGCCCCCATACACACATCAGAAGAGGTGAAATCATGACTACAGCTGGTGGCTGTGAACTGGCCTGGCAGGCAATGACTGGATATTTTCATCACTGAAAGCTAGTGCTGGAGTCTAACCACATGCCCTTCTCTTTCTCTGCCTTCTTACCTAGATTTGGGGACCCTACTAATGCTCTGCTCTGCCGAGCATAAGAAGAATCTCTGCTCTGCTCAGATAAGTGTGAAGTGTTAGTAAAAACAGAAGTGGGTTCAGTGGTGGCAACATGCCAATAACCTAGCACTTGAGACATCAAGGCTAGAGGATCATGAGTTTGAAACCAGTCTGAAGTACATAGTGAGACCATGTCTCAAAATACAAAACAACAGGGAAGGAGGGAAGGAAGGAAGGAAGGGAGGGAAGGAGGGAGGGAGGGAGGGAGGGACGGAGGGACGGAGGGACTGAGGGACGGAGGGACGGAGGGACGGAGAGAGGAAAGTACATGATTTCACTGGAGTCAGCAATGATCATCAACTTAGAGGCCAGTTACAGTGACCCAGGAGAGAGCTATTTAGAATCATGAAAACATTCTGGAGTTTCTCATTAAAACGTTTCTTCCCTAAGTTTGAAGTCCACAGAAGAATCAGGGTAGTTTTTGCCATGCTTTGTGCCTGTGTTGGAGCTTGCCAGCATTTGCTAGGTGGTGATGGGACAAGCCACGGATGCTTCAAGATCTTTACTCTCCTATTTTAACAAATTTATGCTGTTGGCCACTTTTTATTAGTTCATGCTAAACTTAGGAAACAATCTTAGTTTTGTAAGTTAAAAAATCCTAATGGAGTTGAAACCAGGGGTATGAATTCCTCAAATCATTAGTTTAATACAAAGAAAACAGAATGAGTGGATTATGGGTCCTCTGTCAGGTGTCTTCCCAACCTGGCCATTGCAAGTCTTGATGGACTGTCTCAAAAACTGGTCTATCTGTCGAAACATGGAATCAACACACGTGCTTAACAGGGTCCTCTGAAGCAGGGGACAACTTTACAGGGACGGCTACAGAACCTTCTCTTCATTTATATTTGCTTCCAGAGAGTCTGACGGCTGTGCCTTAAAATGGCCTAGACGAAGACGATCACTGTGTAGCAATCCAAGACTCTGAAATTCTCTTTTAGTTCCAAAATTCTGAATTTCTCATTATCAAAACAGTTGCCTGTCTGATTCCAGTAACATTAGATTCATTTAAAAATACCGCTTCCAACCTCTGGTACTCTGAAGTGTTAGGATTATGTGTGTCATGTATATTTCTTGCATGTCGTCTCCTGCAATTCACCAAGGGAAAGAGGTGCAGTCATGAAAGATAACACAGTACTTCTCTGTATCTGCTTTCCTTGCCTTAGGATGTCCACGTGCGACAGAGGCCTCTCAGTCTAAAATGGGTGTAACTGTGGAGACCTTCCTTCACCCTGGAGTCTCCCTAAACTTATCCGGGCTTTTTGCTGCATATTTTAAAAGTTAAGACACTAAACAAAGTTAACGGAACTACAGAAAACCAACAGTGACCCAGAACATTGTTCAGGACCTGCAGTGTCTGAACACAATACACCATTGGAAGAGTCCCATGTATGCTTTGGAAAGAGAGGTCCTTTCTGAAAGCGAGTGACTGGGGAGTCAGATGACCAATGAGGATCACCAGCAAAGCACAGATCTTCCTGAAACTCACTGCTCTGTATGGACAAACAAGAGGCTTAAACTGCATGTGGCTTATAAGGGAAAGATTTAACTGGTCACTCTGATAGGATCTAAGTGTATTCAAATGTGTGTTGGTGCTATGTGGAATTACAGGCTAATTTTGGAGAAACTTGAATACAAAAATGCGTTGGCAGATGCAAAAACTTCAGCATTTCTAATATTTTTGAAGATTTTATTTATTATTTTTTACTTTATGTGTATGAGTGTATTACCTGCATGTATGTAAGTGTACCTGTGTTGTGCAATGCCTGCAGAGGTCAGAAGAGGGTGTCAGATCCCCTGGAACTGGAGTTAAGACAGTTGTGAGCCTCCATGTGGGTGCTGGGAATCGAACCTGGGTTCTCTGTAAGAGCAGCCAGTGCTGAGCCGTCTCTCCAGACCCATTTCCAATATTTATATTCATCTTATAGCTCATTTTGATAAGCTCACAAGAAGCTTAGTCTGAAGTATGAGATGGATTATAACTAATGAAAGAATAAACCATAGAATTTCAAGTTTCTTACAACTAAATGTGAATTTATGTTAAGAAACTTTCGTTCACTTTAAATAATATTGCACATCCCATGTTCTCTGAGGCTCTGCAGGGGTCATCAGTTGTAGCCTTGCTCTTGTTCAGTTACCCAGTACACATACAAGGCGCATTTGTGAGAGGTGAGAGGGGCTGGAGAGATGGCTCAGCGGTTAAGAACACTGGCTGTTCTTTCAGAAGACCTGGGTTCGAATCCCAGCACCAACATGGCATCTAACAACTGTCCTAACTCTAGTTCCAGAGGATCTGACAGCCTCTTCTGTCCTCTGTGAGCATTGCACAACATGGGTGCACTTACCTACGTGCAGGCAATACACACGTACACATAAAATAAAAATAATAAATAAAATATTTTTAAAAGTAGAATTCTTGAATGTAACAACTACATGTCTCACAGCTTTTTCCATATTTTTTAATGTGTGCTTAGCTGGTCCCCTTTTTAGGATTATTTTGTTCTAAATGGCACTGTAGGTAGAGTGTCTTTATTTAAAACATTCTCCTGACCCACTGCAGTGTGTTTACATAAGATTTTGTGATTATATAAATACAAATGTCAACATTAATTACAGTTGCGATATACGGGGGGAGTTTCCTTCTACTTTGGTGGTTTTTCATCAAAATATATCACAAGTGATGATGATAAAATGTAGTTATATTAAAGTTTATTTATGGTCTTTCAACATAATAAAGAACAACAAGATTTACAATATGATGAGGGTAAAACTAAATGTTCCCTACTTAGGATCACTTTGAAAAAAATCCAATTGCTTATAATTTATGGATTCTACTTCCTAAAATCATAGATAATGATAATAAGTCAGTTAAGTTTTTATGCTATTTCTTTAAATAGCTACAAGTTCCTGATAGACAAAAATGCATGAAAACATTGTTGATTAGTTGGCATGCAACTGGATTTTTCCCCTAAATTTTAAGCTCTCTAGTTACTCAATATTAACTTTAAGGAATTGAAGTATCCATTCACATGCTTGTGGTCTGAAAGTAAACCTTTAAAATTTCAAAATTTTTATTTTATTTTTTTGTCTTTTTGAGACAGGGTCTCCCTGTAGTCCCAGCTGGCCTGGAACTCACTTTGTAGACCAGGGTGGCCTCGAACTCACAGAGATCTGCCTGCCTCTGCCTCTTGAGTGCTGGGATTACAGGTGTGTGCCACTACACCCAGCTAAAGTTTAAAATTTTTTACGTGTGTGTGTGTGTGTGTGTGTGTGTATGTATAGGAGTGTGTGTGTGTGTATGTAGGTGTGTGTAGGTGTGTGTGTAGGTGTATAGGTATGCCTAGTGGAGGTCAGAGGACAACTCTAAGGAGTCAGTTCTCTCCCACGACCTTGTAGGATTCAGTGATTGAACTCGGATCATCAGACCTGCACACAAGTGCTTCTACCCACTGAGCCATCTTGTGGGCCCTGAACATAAACTCTTAGTGCTATGTGTGTTCTGTATTCTGCTACAAGGAAGATGACTCTTATAATGAAGAGTTCGGGTGTGTTATTTGATCTCACCACTGTGTTATATGGACCTAATGCAAGGCATGTAGACCTTGGATTCCTGAAATGTGAGGCTGGAGAACAGAACTCCTAGTTTGGTTTCATTTTTATTCATTAAAATGTAAACTTAAGTATCTGAAGCTGTATAAATATTTCTTCCATTAAGAGTAGTTTGTTAGTTTTGGAGACAATAAAAAGAATGTAAAATACATTTAATTTTTAGTATCATTTATACATTGAAATTATAATGGACTTATATTAATAGATAATAGTTGATACTTGGGGTTTTGCAGAATATTAAAATTAATGTCTTCTACTCACCTTTTTAAGAAATATTTTATTTATTATTTTCATTTCATGTGTATGTGTGTATTGCCTGCATGTAGGTAAGTGCGCCCATGTCATGCAATGCCTGCAGAGGGCAGAAGAGGCTGTCGAATCCCCTGGAACTGGAGTTAGGACAGTTGTTAGCTTCCATGTGGGTGCTGGGATTCGAACCCGGGTCTTCTGCAAGAACAACCAGTGTTCTTAACTGCTGAGCTATCTCTCTAGCCCCCAAGAATTCTATTTCTAAATGCCAAAATTGTGTGAAAAATTCTGAAAATAACATGTATTTGCAGTTTACATAAGAGATTTGAAATAAGGATTTTCATGAAATATTTTATAGCAGTCACTTTGGGAATCATGCTATATTCAATAATACTCTCTTCAAAATATAAATTGTACTTGCTGAATGATATGCAGTTGCCAAGTCTCACTGGTCAGCCAAAAACAGTGTTCAAGCCGGGCATGGTGGTGCATGCCTTTAATCCCAGCACTTTGGAGGCAGAGGCAGGCGGATCTCTGTGAGTTCAAGGCCAGTCTGGTCTACATAGTGAGTTCCAGGACAGCTGGAGCTACGGGGAGACCCTGTCTCAAAAAAAAGACAAAAAAAAAAAAATAGTGTTCAAGTAATTGAATAATCTTTTTCTTCTGTGCTGTAATGATTCCAAGATTCACTAATATCCTCTTAATCATGTGGCTTTTGCCTCACCTCTGAACAGGACAAGTGTGACGTCACAAGAGGAGTTCATTTGTTACAAACCCAGATGCTATGCAAGTAGCAGGTAGAGACTGCCATTTCCTTCTGTACGTAAGGTTTATTTATGCCTTGAGATATGGTTGAATTAGGACCATGTGGAAAAGAAAGTACAATCAAACTGCCCCATACAAGTCCAAGAAAAAAATCATACATTGGCTAGCTGCATTACAGAGTCCCTGGTGTCCAAACGTCACTTTGGTGAGTCTCAAGTGACCTATTCATCTGATTCTACCACCTTAGAGGAGCTCTCTTCTGCTGGGCTCTTTGAGAAACAGAATGGTGAGACCACTGAGACCTTGCCGAACAAAATGTCTGCTGGCTCCAACCATAGTCCTCTTCAGTCAAGTCACAGAATGACTGTTTCCCTGAATGCAACAGCTAACTTTGCACTGGCAAGATCTTCTCTGTGAGTCAGATAGTAGGAAACTTGAAAGCACTTCCTTTCCCTAAATGCTTTTCCAATAACGTCTACCTAAATAATGCAGTAAATCATCTTCATCAGATAAGAGGTTTTTTTTTTTTTTTTTTTTTTTTTTTTTTTTTTTTTTTTTAAATATAGCAATGGTGGGTATAGTTGGAGGAAGCATGCATTTGATCATTTCATGGATCTTTTGAGATGAGTTGAGAACAGCAGGCTGTCACCTGTGGCCAGCCCTGAAAGATGCAATCCTGTTGATGGAATCAACTGGAACATATGTTTCTGTTATGAAACACATGCTCTCAGAAAACAAAAGGGCCTGGATTTATCTCCCCAAGAGCAACAAGTCTTTGAACCGCTTTGGATGAACACTTTATATTAAAAGCTCTAAGCCTCTGTCTTCTGGGTTGAACATAAATCCAAGCTATAGCAGACAACTTGCAAGAGAAAGAGAGGTGATCTAAACGAAGAAAGATGTGGCTGTGCTGGGTTTAAAATACTTTCTACAAATCTTTATTGTCATTGCAATGTGGGCTTCCTGGACTTAGCCAGAGAAGACGGGACATTGTGAGAAGGTTACTAACATTTATTGAGACTAGAAACTTAATTGTTCCAGGTAAAATACTAGAGCTTTGGTTATACAATTTTATTAATTTTCTTAACTGTTCATCCAGTAGATGTGGTTAATAACCTCATAGAAGTAAAGCAACTTCATAAAGTTTTTCTACTTGGATTGAGGAAGAGCCAGAAAGCCTTAGTTTTTTTCTAAGTGACCTGCGGTGTTAAAGCTCTCAACCTTGGCTCCCCTGAAGAATCTTCTCTCATAAGGCTTTTTTAAAAATATATTATTTTATGACTACTTTTTCTTCTCTTTTATTTTATGTGTATGTGTGCATTGCCTGCATGTAGGTAAGTGCACCCGTGTCGTGCAATACCCTCAGAGGTCAGAAGAGGCTGTCGGATGCCCTGGGACTAGAGTTACAGATAGCTGCCATGTGGGTGCTGGGATTTGAACCTGGGTCTTCTGCAAGAACAACTAGTGTTCTTAACCGCTGAGCCATCTCTCCAACCCTCCTCTTGTAAGGCTTGTAAAGCACAGTTCCAAGGCTCCACCCCAGACCTATCAAGTGAGGTCTTAGTACACAAACATTTCTATGTATATTTGAAATTTCATGAGTACTAATCCTTGTTACATACTCAAAGCAGAGGCTGAATGATCAATGGATCAGTTTAAGTATTTTGTGTGTGTGTGTATGTGTGTTTGCATGTGCATATGTGTGTGCATGTGCATCTGCATGTATATATTATACATGCAGGTGTGATTCCTCAGGTACCAACCACCTTTGTTTAGAAACAGAGTCTCACTGGCCTAGAACTGGCCAAGTGAAATTAGTTGAGCCATGGCTGGCCATTGAGCCTCAGGCCCAGTGACCCTGTCTCTACTTCAGTGGTGGGATTACAGGTGCGCATTTACCATGAATAGAGTTCTTATGCTTACTATTATGATTCTTTAAAAAAAAAAATCTGGTTCTGGGTACTGAATTCAGGTCCTTGTGCCTGCAAGGCAAACATTTTACTGAGGTATATTTCCAGTCCCTAATTCTTTGTTTTTGTTTATGTTTTTTTGAGAAAGCGTTTCCCTAGAGCTCCAGCTGGCCTAGAACTCTACTATAGAGACCTAGCTGGCCTTGATCTCACAGAGATTTGTCTGCTTCTGCCTCCTGAGTGCTAGGATTAAAGGCTTGTGCTACTATGCCTGACTCAGTCCCTAATTTCAATCACTAAAAGTTGACTAAACTACAAAGATGAGTTATTACTGTAAAATTGGTAACCTTGGGCTGGAAATGGATGACAATACAATTAACTTGATTCCATCTAAAGGAGTCTCTCAAACCTGACTGTGTGATGATTTTGTTACAATGTAGGTTTGGAATGGAGCTTGAATCTGTATTTCTAATCATTTCCCTCCCAGAGCAGGCAGCCAAGGATCCAAGTCTGCAAGCCATGCTTTGAATAACAAAGACCTAGGGATCAAGAGTTCAGGTTAGGGTTGTAAATATCTGCTGATGACTAAGTGATGAGGCTTGAAATTTTAGCATTGTTTCTAAGAGAACTCTTGTTTTTTTAGGCCTTTCTGATCTTCTTTACAAGTAACTAAGTAACTGCAAAGGAGTTTTGTTAACCATGCCCTCCTCCTCTCTGCATAGACTTGTCACACTGTGGATGGCAAAACTTGGGCTATGGAAGGTATATGAAGCTCAGTGATATTGAACAGATTTATTTATTTATTTATTTATTTATTTAGAGACAGCTTGAAACTCACTGTGATGTTGAAGTCAAGTAGTATGATGTCTCCAGCTTGATCTTTGTGTTCAGAATTGCTGTGGATGTCCATTGACTTTTGTGGTTCTATATGGGTTTTTGACTTTTTTCTATTTATGTGAGAATGTTTTTAAGATCCTTTAGGAAATGCATTGTATAAAGTCTTTCTGGGGTAGTGTGGATAGTTTAACCATGTTCAGGTTTCATTCCTTGACACAAGGATATAGCTCCACTTATTTGCCTTACTTCAACTTCTTTCATCAATGTTTTATAGTTTTAATGTTTTATAGTGAGGAGATCTTTCACCTTTTTATTTTTTGCAGTTATTGTACTATTTATTTATTTATTTATTTATTTATTTACTTATTTTTGGGTTTTTTTGAGACAGGGTCTCCCTGTAGCCCCAGCTGTCCTGGAACTCACTATGTAGCCCAGATCTCTCACAGAGATCTGCCTGTGCCTCTGCCTCCTGAGTGCTGGGATTAAAGGCATGCGCCATCATGCCTGGCTTTTATTATCTTTATTTTATGTGTATGAGCCTGCATGTATGTAAGTGCACCTATGTCATTCAATGCCTGTGGAAGTCAGAAGAGGGCAATGAATTCCCCCGGATCTGGAGTTTCAGATGGTTGGCCACTATGTGGGTACTAGAAATCAAACCCGGGTCCTTTACAAGAACAGCCAATGTCCTTAACCACTGAGCTATCTCTCCAGCCTCTAATTGTTGTTAAAGACATTTCATTCAACTGAAGCTCACAGTGCTCCTCCCCCCAGTTCAGAATTGTTCTGTGCATGCAAAGGACAGAGGGCTCTAAAGTTTTGCAACTGGTCTATAGACAATTTGTCACAATGAAGTTTCTTTTTCTTTCTACCTGACACGTGGTGCTGTTTTTAAAATCGAAGAATCCGTATGATTTTGTTGTATCAATCATTTCTATTGGACTTTTTCTGAATAATATAAATCATTCCTACACATGGAGCTTTTCAATGTAGAATTTTGTATTGAAATTTTTAAAACTACATCAAAAGGCACTAGGAAATTTCTAGACTGGAAGAGAAAAATGGTGATGTGAAGAGGGGACTTTTTCTCTGATCATTGTAAATGTCTAAACCAAGCCCCAGCTGAACAGTGACTTAGAAATGACCTCAGTTATGTAATTTGTGCCTGTGTGTTCTTTTAAAGGTACTCACTGTTGTGCTTCCTTCCGGGAGCTTTGCTGGCTGATCTTTATATGGCATCTTCTTAACTTCAAAGGATACCAGGGATGCAAGAGTGTAGGGATAATTTTTTCTCTGAAAGTAAAAATATTTATTCAAATATATGTCCAAGAAAGCTTTAGAATGCTCTGCGGGCACTCACCCAGTTGCTTTCAGTGTTTTTCACGTGCAACATAATCTCCTTCCTTCCTTCCTTCCTTCCTTCCTTCCTTCCTTCCTCCCTCCCTCCCTCCCTCCCTCTTTCCCTCCCTTCCTCCCTTCCATTCTTTTTTCTTTCTTTCTTTCTTTCTTTCTTTCTTTCTTTCTTTCTTTCTTTCTTTCTTTCTTTCCTTTCTTTTTCTTTCTGTCCTTTCTATTTTCTATCATCCATGCATGCATGCATCCCTTCCATCCAGCAATACACCTGTCTACTCCAACAGCCATCAACAATGTATGCATCTATCCATATTTCCAAACATCAATCCATACATTTATCTTTACTCCAAATATCCATCCACCCATTCATCCATCCAAATCCAACTAATTATTCATGTGCTTCCTATTTCTAAAGATACTTTTTTTTTATTAGTAAAATATTTGTGTTCAAGGTAAAGAAGTGGGGAGAACCCTCAGGAAATCAGGCCTCTCTAAAGAACTGTTACAGTAGCCAAAAAATAAAAAACAAAACAAACAAACAAAAAAACCAACTGGTCAAAAATACAAGATTCTCTGGCCTGAATGAAGACCCAACTTTACACTTTTGCCAGATCATCTGGTCGTAGGACCATCCCTAAGAAAGTGTGTTCACCTTAAGTTATACTAAAGAGATGGATGGAATACCTAATACATTAACAAGATGGTGACCTTTTCCTGCCCAGAATCCCTGCATCATCAGTGCAGTTCTTATGGACCCAGTTAAGACATGAGGTAAGCCTTTCCCACGTACCTGAATTCTTCAGAAAACCATACCCTCTCCCTTCTCTTCATATCTCTTTCCTAACCAGGATTTCCTTAATGCTTTGGGTTGCCCCAACCTTTTGTATTTCCTTACCTTTTTCTCTAAAGCTCCCTTTCCCTCCTTACGATGTAGATGCCAGTCTGCCTGCTGTCTGTCTGACCTCCATGTGGGTCTAAACCAGCATGACTTCATGGCTTTTTTCTTTATCTGCTCCATTCTCCTCAAGGCAGCCGCTGAGATTTATGGCTTGCCTACCCTGAAGATTTTTCCTTAAATTCCTTTGTTTTTTTTTTTTCCAATTTTTCCCCCTGAAACTGGAGTTAAGGAAGGTTGCTAGCTGCCATGTGGATGCTGGGATTTGAACCTGGGCTCTCTACAAGAGCAGTCAGTGCTCTTAACGGCTGAGCCCTCTCTCGAGTCCTTTTTCCATAAATTCTAATAAAATTATCCTAAAGCTTCCTTTTGAGTCTACTCTTAAATTCTTTATGAATGAGACTAAGGCCTCTCTAGGGGGAACCTATTTCTCCCCTGTGTCATAAACACTATTTACAATAGTTGTTATTTACTATAGTTACAGTGAATGACCTGGGGATCCACAAAGGTTACAAATGCTTGTTATCTGAAAGAAGGAAACGTTTTAGAGATGACTCTGGTACTGAGTTATAAGGAAATTTGTCACAGTTAACTTCATTCAGAAAACCTAGAGCAGGGCTTCTCAGCATCAGTACCACTGAAATTGTAGGCTGGAGTGGACTCTGTGTACTTTTAAGATGCAGAGCACTGTCTCTGTCCTCTATCCTGCTAGACATCCAGGTTGTAGAAATCAGAGATTCTCCAGGAAGCTAATGTTAAGATTCAGGAATTTTGAGGTAAAATATTTGTGTTCAAGGTAAAGAAGTGGGGAGAACCCTCAGGAAATCAGGCCTCTCTAAAGAACTGTTACAATAGCAAAATAATAATAATAATAAAAAAACAAAAACAACAACAAAAAACCCCAACTGGTCAAAAATACAAGATTCTCTGGCCTGGATGAAGACCCAACTTTCCACTTTTGCCAGATCATCTGGTCACAAGACCATCCCTAGGAAGGTGTGTTCACCTTAAGTTATACTAAAGAGGTCAGTTGTTAAAATACAACATTCAATCACCAATCAATCATCAATCAATCAATAAAGAATAGTGCATGAAGATGGAAGGGAGATGTTTTGGGAACAGCAAAGTTGGAGTGGAGTTGGGGGTGAATATAATCAAGGTACATTGTATACATGTATGGAATTTTCAAATTAAATGTCATTAAAATTAAAGTATATAAAGTAGTTTATACTTATAGAAATATAGTACTCAAAACTCAATTCTGTTTTGTTACATTTTACTGTTACCAATGCTTCTGATATTACCTATATCTACTCCCTCTGTAAAGGGAACCCCATATATCTACTACCTCTGTCGAGGGAACCCCATATATCTACTCCCTCTGTAAAGGGAACCCCATATATCTACTCCCTCTGTAAAGGGAATCCCATATATCTACTCCCTCTGTAAAGGGAACTCCATATATCTACTCCCTCTGTAAAGGGAACCCCATATATCTACTCCCTCTGTAAAGGGAACCCCGTATATCTACTACCTCTGTAAAGGGAACCCCGTATATCTACTCCCTCTGTAAAGGGAACCCCGTATATCTACTCCCTCTGTAAAGGGAACCCCATGCAGGGACATGTACCTGGCATCTTTCTCATTTCCATCTTTCCTGACATCTTGTCAAAAGCCTTAAGTTAGCCTGGAAGGAACATTTACACGATGGAAAATAGCAAGTGCTCCATGTCAAAGCTCTTTAATTCCTCTCAGAATTCATCACGTTGAACATTTACCAGCATTCCACTACCCATAATCCGATGTTGGACCTCTTGAGGCCAATCCAACAATTTGGATTATAAAACTTTTGTTCAAATTTTTAGAAAGTTAGTTTTTTCCCATGACTGAGTTTTTCTCCCCGAGGTTCCACTTCCTGTATGTGATAAGATGGACCATGTGGTTAACTTTCACGTGTTTAAAGTATCTTTCCCTTTTTCTTTCCAACTGTCCAGGATAAATAATTCAACTTATTTGGTTATTTTCAAGGTTTAGTTCTTTTGACGGTCTATTCTCTGCTGACATTGCCATTTTAACTGAAAGATTTTTATTTATGTGCTTAAGAATTTTTTATAAAATTTGGGAATATTTGATCATTAAATGTTACTTGATTTTAATCTACTTTACTTCCACTCTCACTGGACACAAGAGACCCTCTGGTAATGAGATGCTATGATTTTGTCTTGTTTTGTTTTGAGACAAGGTTTCACTCAATAGTCAAAATTTGCCTAGAACTCACTCTGTAGCCCAAGCTGGCTTCAAACTCACGGTGATCCTCCTGCCTCAGTCTTCTGAGGGCTGGAATAGCAGGCATGAACTATCATACCAAGCTCAAAATGAGATTCTATGAGTAAGGATTATAATTACACTAAAATATTTTAATTGAATTTTTGTAACTTACACACAATCTATTTTGATGGTACTTAAAACCCCTCCCCATCCACACCTCCTCTTACTGCCTCCTGCCTGATTTACTGGACTCTACAGAGCCCAATTTGTATCCCTAATTATCCTTCAGTGTGGGTCCATCCACAGGAACCTGGTTAACCAACCTTGAAAGAGATGGTCTCTCCTTCTTCCAAAAGCCATCAGTTGCTAAAATTTCCTTAATTTGGGTTGGGGTTTCATACCCATTTCCCCATGTCTATGCTGACATTTTGGCTGGTGTGAGCTTGCCAAACCAGCCAAATTGAATTTGTGCATGTTGTCACCATTGCTGTGAGTTCATATGAGTAATTGACCAGCTGTCTAGAAAAGTCTGTTTCCTTGTGGTCATCTACCACTTCTGGCTCTCACAGCTTTTTCGCCCCCTCTTCTGCAATGATCCCTGACCCCTGGGAGGCAGACGTTTGATATAGATGTCCTATCCTGGGATCAGCACTCTACAGCCTCTTGTTCTCTTCACATTGGCCAGTTGTGGGTTTCTGTGTTAATCGCCATATTATGCTGGGAGTTGGTCTGGTTTGTGCTTACGTGGGACATGTGCATGCTGTCGTCATTGCTGTAAGTTCATATGAGTAACTGACTAGCTGTCTGGAAAGCTCTATTTCCTTATGGTCATCCATTCTTAATGGTTTCCTAAACCTTCAGTGAATTTTTCAGAGTTGGACATAGTAGTAAATGCTTATAATCCCAGAACTCCAGAGGTAGAGGTACCAGGATCAGAAATTCAAAGCCAATCCCTGTTATATAGTGAGTTTGAGGCCAGCCTGGACTACATGAGGCACTGTCTCAAAGTGATCTCTTTTGCACAAGGAACTATTCATGTAACTGCCACACTATAGGCAGCTGGGACTGAAAAGCAGTGGTGGTATACCCCATGGCAAAAGCTTGGAGCTTCATCCTGCTCCACATAGTTGGTAATCCTCAGACAATGACCTGGTTCTCTGCCACTGCTGCATTTAAGCTGTTATTTGTACTTGGCTCTCTTTAATGGGAACATTTTTGGATGGATGTATGTATGTATGTGCACGTGTGGCACGTGTGAGTACATGTGTGTAGGCCAGAGGTCAACCTTGGGTATTGTTCCTTTAGGCACCATCCGTTTTTTTGAGGTGGGGTCTCTGACTAGGACCTGGGTTTTGCCCGTTAGACTGAGCTGGTGGACCACTGAGCTCCAGGGACTCACCCGTCTCTACTTCTCTAGTGCTGGCATTATAAGTGTGTACCACCATACCTTTTACCTGTGTTCTTCAATGCTTCTCGTGGGGGTTTGGGGATCAAACTCAGGTCCTCATACTTGCAAGCTAGAACTTTACCATCAGAGACATCTCTCCAGCCCTCCAGTGTACACTTTTGCTCAATGGTTTCCTTATGTTAATGTTGCTAATCAAAGTCACCAGGTTGGGAACACATGAGGAGAGGAAGCTCCTGAGTTGGTTAAATATCTAAGTACATTTACCAATGTCAAGGTGTTTTCTCTCCCACTTTTGACTGCTTAATTCCTTTTCGCTGATGATGATGATGATGATTTATTTTAGAGACAGATCTTTATGTAGCCCAAGCT